TCAGTAGAATTAATGCGATTTTATGGCATATTTAGTTAAAATGTGATTTAGTATGATTTAATTAGATTAAATTGAGTAATCAAGAGAGTTAAGCTTATTTACCAAACTACCCCCTTAGTGGCCACTTTCTTACACATATTTGAGCCTTATTATATACTTAGGCACACAATTCATCAGCCATTCTCTTTGTTATTGCCGACCATAAAGAGAGAGAGAGACTTGAAGAGTTGATTTCATCTCACTTTTGCTTGTGAATTGCTTGGAAATTGAAGAAGAAATTGCATATTTGAGCTTCCCTTCCTTGAATTGAAGACTTAAGGTAGAAATTCATCTTCTCATTCTTGTGTTTAAATTGTTTCTTGCATGGTTTAGACCTAGGTTGAAGACTAGAGCCAACTTATGGCTCAAATTGTTGTGTTGAAGCTTAATTGTTGCATGCATGTATATATATTGAAGTTTTGAGGTTGTAGTTCACATTCCTCACATGCATGTCCATGTTTTAAGAGTAGTCCATGATTTCATCATGTTTTTAGAAAGAATTGGCTCAATCAAGCTAGCATTTGAAGCTTTGAAGTGTTTAAATTCATGCATGTTTGCACGTTCTTCATATTCATGGAAATTGGTTTGAATTGGATTTATTTTAAACACCCTTGGGCTTTGATTTTACAAATTGAGCTTTGAATCATGTTAAAGTATGAGTTTTGATGTGTTTTCTGGAAAATTGACCCAAGAGGATCGAAATTTATAGTTTAAAACTTGGTTTTGAGCTTAAGGTTCAAATCTGGAATTTCCAGAATTTGGACTCACGCTCGAGTGGGGTGACTGGCGCTCGAGCGTGGAAATCGTGCTCCCAGCCTTTTGTTCTGTTTTGAATTCCACTCGAGCGGAATAATTGACGCTCGAGCAAGACATTGTGTCTCATGCTCGAGCGGGTGTCGAGCGCCCAATCGAGCGTGATTTTCGCCTATCCAGCACTTTTGACTGTTTTGCAGAACGCTCGAACGGGTAAGACTACGCTCAAACGGAAACCTTTGTCTACATGTCCGCTCGAGCGGAGTAATATACGCTCGAGCGTAACCCCTGTTTTCTGAAAATTCTGAAAATGCTTTTAAAGTGCATCTTTACATCCTCATCTCATCCTAGGCATTCTTAGGCCTAGTTTAAGGCATCTTAATGAGGATTACTGTTACAGAGATCTCTGTCGGTTCCCTTGTTGGAACCACTACTGTTACTGATTGATGGCCATCATTTACTGCTCGGTCTTTTAAGACCTACTGTTTACTGTACTGTTATGCTAATGGATGTACCATATATGACTGTACTGACTGAACGACTGAAATACTGATTTAATGAACTGTTTTCATTACTGTAAGGACATTCATTCTTAACCCCTTTACGCATTGTGTTATTCATTTGGCTTTAGCTCACTGCTCATATACATATGTAGGTGTACAGGCACCAGACCACAACTAGGAGCGTCGGGGTAAACTCCAGTTTTGTCGAGCCAACCTATGTGCCTCAATGCGAGGTCCCGAGCCTATCAAGTTATGGCTTAGGGGTGTTTAGTTCCCCCTTCTGTCTCTGTAACTGTTTTGTTTACTATACTGTACTGTTTAATAGGGATTAGGTCCCTGACTGAACGATCGTATATATGTACATACTGTTTTGTCTGACTGTATATATATTTGAATGAAAAGTCTTTTTGCATACAGATTATCACAACTCATTGGACATTGTTTATTTACTGTATTGGCTTTCGTCAGCCCTTGTACTCTGTATTACTGTATTACTATTAAGCAGGCCTTCGGTAATCTCAGATTACTGGCCGGTTACGGTGCTAAACCCATAGGGGCGGGTTTGGGTCGTGACACAGACTTTGCTTCTAGGGCATACAATATACACCTCTCTATATCTCTCTTTTTTGTGCTCAAATACTCCATAGTTCTTGGCCTTTTGCACACCAACCCTTAGCTTAACCCTTCCATCATCCATCCAAGCACCTTGGAGCTGGTTTTCAGAGGTTGAAGGTTTGCTACTTTGGTCCAGAAGCTGCTGGAGGTCTTCTCTACAAGGGTAACACTCATTTCCCCCTTTTAAGCATTATTTTGCTTCACATCTTAGCTCCATTTGCAAGCATATTTGGGCTTTGTCATAAACTGAAAAAAGTCTCATTTTAAGTTTCTTAACATGTTTGTTTAAGACCTCTTTTCTATTGGGGGTCACCTACCCCCTTTGCATGCTTCATTTCTCTTTGTTTTGAGCCATGCATTAGGGCTTTTGTGTTAAGCTTTGTTGGCCCTTTTGACCACTGAAATCCAACAAATTTTCAGTGGTTATTATGTGTTTTTGAGCATCAAAATCAGAGAGGGGTGATAATTAGAGAGGGGTGATACTCTCACCCCTTGTCTTGTTTACTAGCTTTTTTGGCCTTACAAAGGAGCCCCTATTTGTATGTTTTCAAGCCATGTTTCAGGCTATTATTTGTGAGTTTTATGACCTGCATGACCTCTGTCCAGAGGTGGTTTTGCCATGTTAAGTGTCCATCTTGCATGTGTGGAGTAACCCTCTTCATGGCCTTTCAAAGGAGCCTTCACTTGCATACTTCCCAACCCCCTTTCAGGCCCTTGTTGATGATTTTTAGGGCCCTCATAACCTCTATCCAGAGGTGATTTTGCCATTTTTTATGTCTATCTTACATGTGTAGAGTAACCCCTTGCATAGCCTTTCAAAGGAGCACCTCATTCTAGCATGTGTTAACTGAGTTCCAGTGGGTTTTGGGTCATATTTTGGCATGCCTTTTTTCTGTTTTTGGCTAGTTTGGTAGTCCTTCACATGCTTCATATAGTTGTAGTGTAAGCCATAGTTCACTAGCTTGTTTGCATGATGTTTTGGCCGCCTTTCCTAGCATATTTTGGCCTTGCCTTAAACTGATTTTGTGTATGTTTTGGACTGACTTAGCTCTGTTTTTGGGTCTCATGGTCGAATGATACTTGTTTTGCATGCCTGTAGTTCAATATCCATGCTTGACTTTGAGTTTTGAGGTCCATCGCATGCATATACTGAGGTGTTTACATGTTTCGGGACCATCTTGCATGTCATTTCAAAGCTGGAAAAAGTCATATTGTACGCTATATTTCATCCCTGCCATGCCTTGGTAGAGTTGCATGTTATGCCCTAGGTTTGGTCCATTGCATTCTTGCATGTTTGCATGTGTGTCATTGCTTTGTTTTCATCATGTTTGGCCACTGATTTGAGTGTAGCTGAGGCCCATTCATTTTAGTTTAAGTCCATCTTGCATTGTGTATGCCATGTTACAATGTGTTGTGCAGGTTATGTTGTTAGCATTGTGTATGCCATGTCACTCTTTGCATTGTGTATGTTAGATGGTTAGTTGCATTGAGCATGCCATAGTTCATATAGCATTGTGTGTGCCATATAGTCCATAGCATTGTGTATGCTAGGTTGCACGTTTGCATATTTAGGTTGTATGCCCATTGCATATTGCTTGCTAACATACTCATTTTGCATTAGTTTGTTTGTATGCTTAGGTTGCATAGCATTGAGCATGCATCCCTTGCCTCTTGATCAATCATGATAGAGGTTAGGGCCCTTTATGTGCTTTGTGCATTTCATTCCATATTGAGTTGCACACTTGGCTTCTTTGGCCATCATGCATTGAAATGCATGATTGATGGTCCGAGGGTTGAAGAACTACACTCCCTAGAGTCTTAAACATGATAGGGAGTGTGGTTGTGCAGACATTGTCTGGTAAATGCATTGCCATGCTCTGTTTGTGCAAAATAGGGTTCTGTAAGAATAAATAGCCGGTCGACTTCTTTCAGCGCCGACCGACTAACCATACTTAGCCGATATCCTCACAACTGGTCGATGACCATTTTCCAGTGGCCGATGGCCACCCCTCTTGGCTGATGGCCTATCACAGCATCCATGAGGTGGATCAGAAGTGTTCTGGAGACTTGTGCAATTTTCAGAGGAACAAAACAGTGCAAACAGAGGCAACATGAGGCATGGCAATGGATTTCCGGGCGAAGCCGACCAAGCTTGCATTCATCCCTCTTCCCGAGGCTGTTTTACTATTTTTCATAGCTTAATTAATTTGTTTAATTAGTTAAGAATTGTGTAATAATTAGTTGTAGCTGTTATTTATTCGATTTGTATTATTTATTCGGACCCTCTAAGAGAGGGCAATTTTGTAATAAGTGTGCGTGTGTGTGATGCATGTCTTCCAACCCCACGTCTTTCTCCTTTTTATTGAACCGCTTATGATGGTTAGTATTAGGGCATATTTCAATTAGCATCCTTATGCTATGCATGTTTGCATCATTCATATGTCTTGCATGCACCGGGCTCGGCGCATCATACTAACTGCATTGTATTTCAATTCCAAGTTGAATACGTGTTAGTTGTAGCATCTCACATGCCATCTTAGAATAGCCGAGCCTATCTTAGTTGCATTTTGCATGTGTTGCATTAGCCATCTTAACATGAACTGGGATCATGCATTGATTACTAACTAGTTTTTGTTTTGGCTCGGAGTACACTGTGAGTGTTTATGCTTTAACATCTTGCATGTATGTGAGTGTTAACATGAAAGCATGCTTGCCATGAGACTAACTGCTTATATGATATACCTGCCTAAATGCCTGTGGGTGAAGGTTGGGTTGCTTGAATTGAAATAATTCGTCGAAACCCGTGTTTTAGCCTACTTGCGAGTAGCAAACCTCAATCTATTTTCCAAAACAAACGGGTATGCGATGCTTTGTTCCAACTTAGGCAATCCAGTCTATACTTGTATGCTGTGCGCATCACATAGTAATTGTCACACCCCAAACCCGCCCCTAGAAGTTTGGGCATGACCACTTCAGAAACGGACACTTAACTTGTTTTATATCTATATATATAGGGCCTGAACGGAAGCACTAAATATTAAAATTTGACACTGGAAACAAACTCCATCGAGCTACTACTATCATGCCAGGATCACAAACTTTTAACAAACAAATAAAATCTAAAACATACACCTGAACATCGATTATATACATACATATATACAGACCCAGCCCTATTATTGGGCATATACAAAAACATGAGAGCTATATACATCACTCTTAGATAGACATTCAAAAAGCAAACCAACATCTTATCAGCTTAACAAAATCAATGACTGTGTATAGTGCCTGGACACACGAAGGTTGACAAAAGAAAGCAGCGTCATGGCTAGTACTGACCATCTGATTGGTGACCTACAGAAACAGACATAACAGAGAGTGAGTCGGACTCAGTGAATAGTAATACATAAATAAAACGATGCTTAACTTGAAACATAACACAGAGCAATGCATTTAAAGATGTAGAGTTCACATAGTTAGTCTGATTCTGTGCTACGTACATAATGGCCTTAGGTTCAATCTTGCAACATAAACATGGTGGCTATAAGTCCTTGAAACATATGGCACTAAGCCCTTATAACATATGGCACTAAGGCCCTTGAAACATGTGGCATAAAGCCCCTGAAAGATTGGCATAAAGCCCTTGAAAAATTGGCATAAAGCCCTTGAAACATATTTGACCTTGTAGCATATTTAAACTTGTAACATAGTTAGTCTGATTCTGTGCTACGTACATAATGGCCTTAGGTTCAATCTTGCAAGATAAACATGGTGGCTATAAGCCCTTGAAACATATGGCACTAAGGCCCTTGAAAAGTTGGCATGAAGCCCTTGAAACAAAGAACTTGTATCATCCTTGAACTTGTAACATATGGAAACATGCCTGAAACATACTTGAACATCATTTATTAATTCGAACGGAACATATCATAACTAGAGTATTTCTTGTTGTATCATGTCATTATCGTACGCTTAACAATGAGAGACTAATTCACATTCTTATGAGGGTCACACAATGATTCTAAACTTTACGCTTATAACGTAGATTCTGAATAACATCCAATTTATAAGCATCATAGCAAAATAACTTCAATTCATATGGATGCACATAGCTACTATTATATTTACTCAGAATCCATCATTCAAGAATGAACATAAATTCTTTTGGGTAAATGACTTACTTTACGGGCTCTATTAATCAATAGCATATACCTTTGTTTAATCATTCTTATATGTTAACATAGTTGCCTTGCCTTGTAATTAACAGAGTCCTAATGGTAAGACAGCAATGTATTTCATAGATTTACAACTTATCACATCGGCCTTCGGCCGTTTGGATTCACAAGTTCACAAGTTTGGCCCTTGGCCTCATAGATTCACAACTTATCACATCGGCCTTCGGCCGTTTGGATTCACAAGTTCACAAGTTTGGCCCTTGGCCTCATAGATTCACAACTTATCACATCGGCCTTCGGCCGTTTGGATTCACAAGTTCACAAGTTTGGCCCTTGGCCTCATAGATTCACAACTTATCACATCGGCCTTCGGCCGTTTGGATTCACAAGTTCACAAGTTTGGCCCTTGGCCTCATAGCTTCATAAGTCACAAGTCGGCCTTTGGCCACATAGGTTTGATCTTCACAAATGGCCCTTGGTCACATAACTTCATATTTCACAAATGGCCTTTGGCCACATAGATTCATAATTCACAAATGGCCCTTGGCCACATAACTTCATATTTCACAAATATTCATAATTTCACAAATCTTTTGATGTTCCCAAAATTTCACAATGTGTCTCACATAGCATACATAACTTCACAACTTCTTTGATGTTTCCATGAGTTCACAATGTTTCTCACATAGCATACATAGCATACATATCAACATAATTCTTATGACGAAGATCATAACATCAATAATAATAATTATTAACGGTTAAAGGTACATCAAAGTACTACTACTCACTGCGTTCAGGTGCTTGGTCCGCCCCTGTAGCTGACCCTACACAATTCACGTAATTCAAACATCATTTATCATAGTACATCACCATTCAAGTCAGCATTATTCAACACAGCATAACTTCAACAAAAGTCAACATTTAGTTCATCAACACCATTTGTAACTTAACATAATTCGAAATAAATCTTTGAATCCCATTTCAACATTCCAAAACCAAGTTCATATCATTCATACCATTAATAGATTATTTCCCCAATTTTCCCTTCACATGCTAGCATGAATTCCAATATTCATAACAAAGTTCATTCGCAAATTTTAAACATAATTTTCAAACATTTCTAAATTCTAATTAAACTTGAACACATATAATTCAATACCTCAATTTCACTATTCTAGTTTCAATTTGGGCCAAATTATTGGGTATCATCATTAATCAACCTAGGGTTTCAAGAAAAATGAGGATTTTTAACAAAAATTCACACTTCTTAAATCACCACTTTTAATTCCAATTTTCCCAATGATTCTACACCTAGGATTCACAATTCATCATTTTAACCCACCAATTTAACTTCCAACATCTCAAACTCTAAATCCCCAAATCTCATAATATGCCCTAGATGATAAAAATGAAGATTTTTGCATTAATATAATGAAGTTACCATAAATCTATCCATAGATGTAAGTATTGAGGAGATCTAGAACCCCTACCTCGAAGAACAAACAAAGGAGCGAGCTTGGATGAGATTCCACCTCAATTTCGAAATTCAATCGGTTGGAAATGTTTACCCTTTCTTGTTCTCCATCCTTGATACAAGATCCATGGAGGATTTGTTGATAAAAGTGGAGGAAATCAAGGTTTTGGAAGCTAGGGTTTCGGACATGGAAGAGGGGAGAAGAAGAAAGGAAAAGAAATTGCAAGAAATGGTCCAAAAATCCCGTTTTTAGAGCTGCTGTCCTGCACAGACCGCACGTGCGGCGCTATTCCCCGCACGTACGGCTCTGCTTCCAGCACAGATGTGAAAACTTCAAACGGGTATAACTCTCTCATCGGGACTCCGTTCTAGGTCGTTCTCGTGTCCAAATTGAAGCCCCGGAAATAAGCTTTTCAATGGTTATAACCTCACATTTAAATTCAAAGTGTGGAAAAAGAAAAGGACAAATGAGTGACAGCTGATCATAGGTTAACTATTCGAATTAAATTCGTTGGTCCAATCTTACTTTACCATCATACCACCACCTCAAACAATACCCTAAAATAAGGTAAGAACATTCCAAATACACTATTAAGAATGTCAAAAATGAGCCCATGCTCGAGCGGAGGGTAAAAAAAATTTCAAGCCGATACAATAAAGGTCGCCATAACTCAGCAGATAATTCTTTAATTCCGATAGATATAGTTGAATTAAAACACATTAACCCCTAATTAAATAAGGATGACTTTCTATACGCATTTTGGGGTCATTACAGTAATTCTAGGTTAAATAACCGGAATAAGAGCACATGTGTTTTCAAAAATAAGATATCATGCTTAGTAGAGACCGATCTTTGATCGGGCGAGCGGGGGTGCTTATAGCTGACCTTCCCCAATCGTACCCAAGTTCCCGAGCCGAGGCAACTTTGGCGATGACGGACACGTGGCCTTAGGCACGAGTCAGGGTTTCCTAAATCTCCCAAAATAAATATTTAGGTGGCGACTCTGTATCTGACAAAGTAGTCCATGTTTGGCACTTCTTTCTAAAAATCTGTTTTCAAAACGATTTGCCGGATCTGGACTCTTTGATGATTCATCGGTCTTGCATTGCACTCTGCGAGATTAGATACAGGACTGTGACATTGAATCCTGAACTGTAGTGAGCCCAATGAACAAAATGAGGAATTCCCTCCCGGGACGTTCGGGGACGTCTACAATCACGGTCACCAATCTCTAGTAGGTTGCAATTGCATTTTTCAACCTAAAAGGCATCACTCTGTAGCAATACAGCCCTTTTAGGGTGATAAATGCAGTTTTCTCCTCGTCGATGAGATACATTGATATTTGATGGTATCCCTTATAAGCGTCCAGGGAGCTCATCATTCCATGCCTTGAAGTGGTATCTACTAATTGATCGATCTTAAGGAGTGGGAAACTGTCTTTGGGACAAGCCTTATTCAGGCTAGTGAAATCCACGCAGACCCTCCACTTCCCATTCTTCTTTTTCACGACAACTATGTTTGACAACCAAGTTGGATAGTTTACCTCCCGAATGGCTCTAGCCTCCAACAATTTGTCCACTTCCTCCTCTACTGCCTCCACATGAACTAACGTCGGCCTCCTTGCTTGCTAAATGACAGGTTTAGCCGACTTGTCTACATTTAGTCTATGACAAGTGACCTCGGGGTTAATGCCAAGCATCTCATATGGCGTTCAGACAAACACCTCTATGTTTGCCCGCAAGAATGACTCTAACTTCCTTTCCTCCTCGTCGATAAGTCCTGAGTCGAGAAGGAAATAGCGCTTTTCATTACCTTGTTGGACCAAAATTTTTTTTAAGACTTTTTCGCTTTTGTCGGCTGGCTCTTTGTCGACATCATCCAGGACCTCCATGTCCTCGTCTTCAATTTCTACTATTTTTGCCTCTCGCATGTTACAAGTGAATTTCATTGCTGCCATGGAGCAATTCTTTGCCTGCACTTGATCCCCTCTGACCTCCTCATTCCATGATCTGTTGGGAACCGCAACAACTGGTGTAGTATTGAAGGAACAACCCTCATTGCATGCAACCATGGCCTCCCTAGGATAACATTGTAAGAGGAGGGGGTGTCAATTACTGTGAACTTTGTACCTACCTTATTGGTGCCTGCCTGCACCTCCAAATTCATTGCTCCTAGGGGGCCATGTCGGTGTTCCATTGAACCCGACCATGGGGCTGTTAGACTGCTCCAAATTTTCTCGATAAAGGCTGAGCTCCTTGTAACATCTGACATACATGATGTCACAAGAGCTGCCTTGGTCAATCAGAATGCGCCTTACCTGGCATTTTCTAATTTTGAGGGTTACTACTAGAGCATCGTTGTGTGGATGCTGCACCATGTCTAGGTTTGCTTCAGTAAAGGACACCATTGGTCCAGGGCACTCATCTGTCCTTGGCCTCTTTTGTTGGACCTGATATACATACTGTAAGTGTTTCACCCTCTGAGTCTCTCTACGTACCTCATTCTCATTGACCCTCGAGTGAATCACATCGATCACTCGAGGTCCATCTGCTTGCTGTTGTGGTACTGGTGGAGGTGGTGCTGCCGGTGCCTGGGGCAGCCTTACCTGCTCTTCCCTCGTTCTGGCCTTATCTACTAGGTCCCTCGAGTGACCTTGTCTGACCAGATCTTCCAAATGCGACTTTAGGGCTCTACAACCCTACGTCAGGTGTCCATCTTCATTGTGGTAGGCATAGTGCTTCCCCAGACTTCTTCCCATAAATTTGCCAAGGATCCTCTTCGGCGCTCTCTAATACGACTGGTTCGTGATCCTTTCTAGAACTTTATAAATCGGGATCTGGAACACAGTGGTGACTGCCTGTGCAGCCCTTAGTCATGTTTCTGGTCTATTAAATCCAGTGTTACCTCGGCCTCGCTTCGGCAAGCCATTTTTCTTTTCCTGCTTCGGTGCCTTTACTCCCGATATATCCACTTCTGCTCTGGCATATTTCTCGATCCTTGCCATGACCTCCTTCATACTCTTTGGCAGAGTCTTCACCAGTGACTTTCGAAGCATGCAGTCATCCTCTAGGCCATTTTTAAAAGACACGACCACCAGCTTCTGGTTACATCTTGGTATTCGATTAAACACCTCATAATATCTTTTGGCATAAGCCCTGAAGCTTTCACCCTCGCCAATTTTCAGAGCCATCAGGGAGTCTACCCTCAACGGCTGCAATTTGCTTGTAACAAACCTGGCCACAAACATCTCACCCAGGCCTTTCCAATTTTTCACAGTTCCTTTCGGCAACTTGTGAAACCAATTTAATGAGATTTCCCCAAAGGATGAGGGGAACACCTTGCAGAGCAACGGTTCGTTCCTGGTATACAATGCCATTGAATTCAAATATAAGCCGACGTGAAAGTTCAGATCGGACTTACCATCATATATCTGGAACCTCGGCATATGGAACCTCTTTGGAACCTCAAACTTATCCAACTCTACTGAGAACGGCGTTCTCGGCTTGACCGGGGATGTTAGCTCAGCGTTCTGCCGCTTCCTCTAGAGGTAGTCCCTCAAATCCTCCTTAATCCAGCCAAGAGTTCGGCTGTCAACGGATTTCAGCCTTTTTAGTGCGCTACTCCTGGTATCGTTATGAGTCCTCTTGGACTTTTCTTCGTTCACTGTGTCAAAACAAAGTTCCTTCCCTTGAACGTGCCGATGTTCCCTAACATACGTTCTTTTGGTACGAGGCGTCCTTTGAGACTCTTTTTTCATTGATTCTGCTCTCTCGGCGTCCTGCGAAGGCCGGTGTGAGCACTCCTTCACCTTGTCATGCTGAAGGACTGCTGGAACTGTTTTCTGCCTCCCTTTCTGGGCATCGTTCTTAGTTGCTGGAATCGGTGTGTCCTTTAATAGAAACAGTGGTTACATGATGTTGTTCTGCATCATGAAGTTGACAACCGATTATAGGTCTGCCAACTTGTTTTCTATTCCCTTCATCTTGTCGTCCCTCCTCAGGCATCTATCTTTCCATACCTGGAGGTTGCTTTCGTTATAGTACTTGTCTCGGCCTGCTTTCTTCGGTGCATCTCCCTCTTAGCTGACGTTTTTCTCTCCTAGATTCTGATCCCATGGTCCTTCATTAGGGTTCTCCTCCTCCATTTTAGGATCAGCATGTTTACGACTCCCACTAGGGATGTCGTACCCAATCTTCTCTTTCTGTCCGTCATTGGCCATCTATTCTCCTTACGCTCTCACACGCGGTGCCAAATTGTGGGTGTTGATTTTTGACTACACAACCAAATAGGGAAACTCAGCAGGAGAGCACCGGCAAAATAGATTAAGCCCGAACAACCTGTCACAGAAATATAAGAATCCGGCGGTAGTTCGTCTCCCTGGGGGCACTCCGACAATCAAGTCAGTAATTATCTCTCAAAGATAGCCAATTGTGCTTAACTCATAAGAAAGAACTTACTGGTTACAGTATATCACACATACCTCAGATCTACGGGGGTGCCCTACTTTTATAGCCAGCATTGACCTGATCCCTATAGAGGCCTAACTTCAATGGACTCAGGCACAATGTTCATCTTAGACTCTCAGTTAGATAGGGATAAACTCCGTAAGAACTTTATCTTTATCCAGATTGAGATCCTCCCCTATTCTAGGACTCTTGTCCCTTATCCGCTCATTTCGAATTTCGATATCTTCGCAGATAACCTCGGCCTAGCCAAGATAACCTCGGCATCAGAACCAGGCCATGTGGCACCTCAGTTGACACTCCGGCGTCACCTTGGCCATGTGTTGTCCCTCACAAAATACGTCCCCACAGATTCATATTACAAAATAAGAAATAATGGAACTAATTTAAATTATAAATTACAAATTGATTAACAGAAATATAGAACAAATATATTATGGATTATCATAACAAACATAAATAAAAACGATGAAGTAAATCAAAGCCTATGTAACCACAGTTTCCTTAAAACAGATTCGCTGTCTCACCGTGGGTGTTGAAGGTATGTCGATGTTTGTCTCTCAAGATACGACGGTCGGAACCAGCTAAAGCAGAAGCACCTTTTGTAAAGTTTCGGCAAACTTCGACAAACTTTCTGTAAAGTTTCGACAAACTTCGACAATTGCAACACTCTTGCACACTTGGAAGAAGAATTTAGGCGGACTTATAGTATAGTAAGGAAGAAAAAAAGAAATTTTGTGTACCAAATCAAACGAGAGTGGTCTCTATTTATAAACAATGAGGAGAGATGAGGAGCCTTCCAGCCTATCTATAACTTTCTTCATTCGGAAAATTTGGATGCCCCAAATAGCTCACACACTTATCAAAAACTTGATTTAAATGCCCATCAATATTTTCCTCCATAATTAATGTGTGATAGGTAGTTACACACCTTTCTCAATACTTTATTTATGAGACCAATTTTATGAGACAAATTTTTATTCAATTCTCAATATTTTTTGTCATTTTTTTTTTTTGTAGTGTAAAGATCTTATTGCAATGAATCTAGACTCACTTGAACTTACCTCAACTAGCGGTTGGGACCTACTTTAATTTTACATTAAAATCACTATAAAACCATTTTTTCCAACATCTTATATCTCCAATTTAATATTGTCACACTAATAATATTATCATTCAAATTTTACTGTACTTATAATCCCACTCAATTTAATCCGTTAATTAAACATAGTTGAAATATACAACATATATATATATATATATATATATTAAAAATTATAAAATCAAATTAATATAAAAATAATTTATAAGGACACGTGTGTAATTTTTCCTATACATTTATAATAGTAAGTCGAAGTGTACAAATTCAAAACACAGAATAAAATACAGGTATCTCTAAATCTGTGTTTTGAACATGTATTCTTAGCACTATACATTTATAGTGCCCCCAAAGAAAATGTTTACAAAATCATGATTGAAGGCATTAAATTGTTGTTGAAATGGACGAATCATGTGCAATCAATGGAGATTCAACAACTTGTACTACACTTTTAGGCTGCGAATTTACTTTGAGCCGTATTGGTAGATTTCTTGACTCCAATTGCTGGGGAGGTACCTGAGGATTTAATGGACCGATCTGGTTGATTTAATGTATTAAATTCATGTTCATACTTTTATCTTTTTGAGTTATATTTGGGATCTTAAATGAATTATTAAATATTTTAAAAAATATTTTATGTGAATGTAGAATATACACAAATGAAGATTATTTATACAAAAAAGTAGCTTAATTAGACAATTATACATATCGAAAAAATTACATTTTATTTTATAAAATGAACAACAAATGTCATTATAAATTTAAATCATTAATTTTATAAAATAAAATTACATTTAATCTTGTGTTTTCAGTTGTACCATAGAGTTGATTTTTTTGCATCAGTAACCTCTATGCGAGCTCTACTAGGTAGACGATTTGTATCAACAGTGCATGTGCGGAATTAAAAACCACAAGAAAGATATGAAGAGGTACGGGAAAGAACCTATCCTATTTAAAGGCTATAAATTTAGTTCGAACCTTAATTGTAGATGTTTTGACTGATCCAATTGCTGGGGAGGTATTTAATGGACCTATCTGGTTGATCATACATTAATAAATGGACCTCTCTGGTTGGTCATATATTTATATTTAGAAAAAATACAGTAAATTTTATAATTTTAACATAATTATATTAAGTTTTTTTTAATAAATAAGATTAAATAGATCGAAACTAATACAAATATTATAAAAATATAAAAAATAAACGTAGTAAAATATACATTTTCGTGTAATAGAGATGACATCATTATTTGTTTTATTTATATAATGAACAAATTATTGATGAAAAGTGATTTCAGTGTTATATAAATTAAAATCACAAGGGAGGTCCGTATAATTAAATCAAAATTATAGAATTTATTATATATTTTTTAAAAATTTGAGGAGAAGTCAGCGTAATTTACCCTAATAATTGCATAGTAGATTATATCTAATAATATTTCCAATAAGCCCTAATAATATTTCCCTAATTTGAGAAACTCAACCCCTCAACTTTCATCCTCCATTACCATTTGGTTTGTCCTTTTCTTAATTTTCAATAATCAATCAATATACATATTTTTTAAATCGAACCTATTTTTCCATTTCTAGCCAAATTTACAGAATTCTCTAAAAAAAAATTATAAATATTTTCATGAATTCCATTTGCAGATTGAATGCAACAAGCAAAAATAAAATACAACCGAACCAAAATTAACTAACAACACATGCTAATATCTTTTCGTAGTCTCGAATTTGAAATTTTATACTAGCATCTAAGTGTCCTGAATTATCTTGTTGCAAAATTCACCTACAATTCAATTGAATTTGGGCAATAAATGCAAAATTAATCTATGCATATCACAACTCACATCTTGCATGGAAAAATTCATATTGTGAACACTTATTATATCAATGATAACATATATTAATATGGGTTTGATTAAAAAAACAACCAAACAAACATAAGGATTGGGAGACCATAAACACCCATGTCTCAATTTCTATTTTATAGATAAGGATTGAGAAATCACAATCCAATCCCATAAGATTAGATTATTGAAAATTATATACTTTTATTTTATAAAAATAACAAAAGGTGTTTTCTATATAATGAGAACTTTTATATAATTTCATAAATTTAATCTAACCAACAACTACCAACACATTAATGTACAGATGAAAGCAATTTATCTGACTTTTCCAATTAGATACCGCTAGACTATTAATTTCATCACTCAATTACATAATATTCACAAGTTCACTCAAACTAATTCAACAATTAAAATGGTCAAAAAAAAAAATTTGTACAAAAAGGGAAAAAAATAGAGTCGAAGAAGAACAAAAATTGCATATGATTTATGACGGGTTGGGTTTGATGATGTCTACCACAGTAGAGGACATGCAAACTCTTCCATTTCCTCAATCTCATAATTTAGATGTAATGCAAACAAAATAGAGTCGTGCACTTTGGATTGCATATAAAATGCTTTCAATTTCCCTCAAAGAAAGTGTACACAAAACCATGGTTTTTTTGTTTTTTTTTTTTTTTTTTGAAGGATTCGAAATATAATACGTGTCTACCCTATTTTTAAGAGAATTAGAGAGGACAACATTTAAGTGGAAAAGCCGGTGAAATTACAACGGATAACAGTAGGCTTTTGGGAAGCTAGCTAAAAGTTAGCTTTTAGTTTTTAACTTTTAATCTATTTTGAGTCATATTACATCTCACATTTTTTATACATAAAAAAACTAAAAAAAATTAGAAAAAAGCCAAAAGATCAACTTTTAACTAATTTCCCAAATCACCTTGAAGTGGAGAGAAATAACTTAAAACACTTTCGCCCAATCTTATCTCTAGCAAGGACTAAAACCCCCCAAACCTCTCACATTGGAAAATTGCTATTGAACTACAATACTGTTGACCAAAACCATGATTTTTTTTTAACGGAAGAAATATGTCATTTAAGAAAGCCAAACGGCACTTATAAGAGTCCAAACAATCCAAAACTTACACCAAACAAAGTGAAAATAAAGGAAGAAGCACTAAGGAAGAAAATTATGAAAATATTCAGATGTACATATCGTACTCGTGCTCGTACTGTGAAGCAGAGCCGATCATAAAAGTTCGGCAATAGAGCATGTCCGAAAAAAATCATAGATTCCAACCACAATGAGGGTAAGCTTAACAAATCGCACAGATGGACTCTAAGAGAACCAAACAAACCCAAAACCAACACAAACCATAGGGGGGGAAAAACTTAGGACTAAACCAAAAAAACAAAGCAAAACAGAACCACACCCAAACAAATCCGGCAGCGACTTCAGCGGATCCGGCGATGAAGAGGCGGTGGAGAAAAGGCGATGCAGGCGGTGGGAGAGGCGGAGAAGAGGCGGTGAAGGCTGCGGGGGAGGCGAATCCGGTGTTGGCAAAACAAGCTATGGAGAAGACAACAAGGAAGAGGTGGTGAAGGCAGCGGAGAAGGCGCGGATCCGAAAAGGCCACTCCTGGACTGGATGGATGCTGGAAAAAACACCTCACAAAAGGAGGGAGAGGATGGAAAGCCAAGCTTCCAAGTTATGGGAAAGCAAAGTAAGAAAAGGAAAGAGCAAGAGAGGGGTAGGGGAAGGGGAGGAGGCCGGAGGCCGCTGGAAAACCCCTCCCCCACCGCCGGCAGCCACAAACTCTAAAACCCTAGGTAGAGAAAAGTTTAGAGAGAGAAGCTCTCAAATTAGAGAGAGGCAATCGCTTGTTGGTTGTTTGCCTTGCCAAAACCATGATTGAAGACATTGATTTTGAATTGTCAATGAACATGGATCAAAATTATGTGAAAATCAATAGATTCAACAACCTGTACTAGACATGTTTAGAACATAGCCTTCTTTTGGAATGTATGTTGACTTTTTAATTTTTTGATTTTTTTAATTATTTTAGCTTGGGGCTAAAAAGCTTTGTTTATGATAGGCTTTTTGATTTTTTTAATTTTTGTGAGAGAAAAAATAAAATGATTATGGTTTGGATGTGACATTTTGTCTTATTGACTTTTAACTTATTTTGCCTTTTATGACTATTTTAGCCCAAAACCAAGATGCCAAACAAAGCCTATGGGCTTATCTCAGCTAGTAGTTGTGAAGTAGATTATTCATACAAAAAACTAAATTAATTAGATATCAATAGTTATACGATCAGAATATATTTGTCTTATCTATGTTAAAAAATTAGGGACAATTACCCCAAAAAATTTAGGGATGGACCCTTTTAATAAAACAAATTTAAAATTTTCATTTTAAATATTAATCTTTTGATTTATTTTAAATCTAAACCATATGCTCATTTTGTTAACTAAAATCAACGAAAAAAATAATATTTTAGTCATTAAATTCAATGTATCTATACATAAAATGCCTAAAATATTTATTTTTATAGAGTTTAATGATTAAAATATCAATTTTTTCATCGATTTTACTTAACGGACATAGGCAAATAGTTTAGATTGAAAAAAATAAAAGACTTAGAGTTTAAATTGATAAAATTAAAAATTCAAGATTTATTTTGTCAAAATGGTCAAACTCTAGGGGTTTTTTTTTTTTTTTTTTGGTTTTAATTTTTCCAAAAAATTAAGTTGATTGGATATCAACAATCACATGATTAGATTATATTTCGCTTATAAAAATGATGAAAAATATGATTTTAAGAATATATCATCAATTTTTTTAAGATAAATATGATTTGATCATATCACTACTGATATTTGTTTAATATAATTTTTTTATAAAAATGATTTGCTCAGTTGACTCTGTCAAATAAATGATTCGCATAAGTAAAGGGAGAAGTAAGCACACCAAATTCTAACTGTACTTTTTCTTTTTAATGCGTGTGAACATTCTCATGAATCCCATTTTAATCCCATTTTAAGGTTCAAGTAACTTGTTGCAAAGTTCACTTATGCAAAATCCAAATCAGTTGTGGTTTGGCTATGGCTTTTTAAGTTGAGACTTTTTTAATTTGGAATTAAAAAGTTTGTTTGGATTAATTTTGACTTTTTTTATTTTCGTGAGAGAAAAAGTGAGATGATTAGATGTAATATTTTATTTTATTCTATTTTATTTTTTTGTATTTTTTTAATCTATAAAATCAATGCCAAATGAAGCCTCAAAATTAATCTATGCATCACACAACTCAACTTGCATGGAAAAAATTAATATTGGGGACACTTATTATATCCATGATAACATATATTAATATGGATTTGATTTAATAATAATAAATAAATAAATAAATAAAAACATAACGGGGGACCATAAACACCCATGCCTTCAATTTCCAATTTATAAAAATAAAGAGATCTCATGTTTACATGGTGGCATGCATGTGGTGGGAATGGGATGGTTTTTATCTTTCTTTTTTTTTCTTTCATATATATTCTTTTTTCTTTTTTTCTTTTTTCCTATTGGTGTTTAGTTTGTATTGTTTTCTTTTGTTTTGTTTTTTTGTTTTTGCTTTTGTATTTTTGTGTTTATTTTGTTTTTTTTCATGACCCATCTGACGTAGGCGTAACAACCCCACTGCGCACTTCACACCTAAAGTAGGCATTATCTGGGTAAAATGCGCCTTGTGTGAGTGAAGTGAAGTGGAGTAGTGAGTGATAATTATCCGCAGGTCCTGTCAATTGAACTTATTTACTCATAAGTTTTGAGATTTTTTTTTTTTAGATTTTTTAAATTTATGTTTTGCATTTAAAGAAATGATCATCGGCTAAGTTTTCCTTCATATCTTATCTTTTTTATACGTTTCCATACTCCTTTTATGAGTTTTAATTCGGATTATCCGAACTGTCTACCTAGTAGGCCTCGCAATGAAGGTCATTCATGCAAAAAATTAGTTTCATCGGACAACTAAACATACGAACAAATCATATTTTATTTTATAAAATAGATGGTTCAAATTTAATTGAATTTGCCATTCATTTTATAAAACAAAATGCGATTTATTTTTATATTTATAATTTTCTGATCAAATTGATTTTTTGCATGAATGACCGTTATTGTGGAGCTTACAAGATAGACGGTTCAGATTATCAATGCGAATCTACAATGAAACCTATAATAAGAGGTATGGAGAGATGAGGTATGGAGAGAAGCTTATTCCAATAATCATTCGGTATTGATAAATTAGAAAATTTTATCAAATTGATAAATAATTGAAATATTTTTATTTTTATTTTTGAGCTTTGATTTATTTTTTATTTGTATTGAGATATGATGTGAAAAGTGTAAAGAGATGAATTATATTTTTTTAAATATTTTTATAGTGATAACGGTTGGGAAATGACTTATTAATAAAAAGTTTAATCCTTGAAACCGGCTTGTAATTGCTCTAACACCTTCTGGGGACTCATAAAATTTGCGGAAACCTACTGGTCAGTGGGAACAAACCAAAAAAATAAATAAATAAAAATATTACAAATTTATAGTAAAATTTAGGAAAATGAGTGAGAGCACTAATTAGTGCTATCACTAATGATGTGGCAGTGGGCCCCATCAAGAATGATTTGATGTTTTGGCCTTGGTATTGTATTTTTTTTTCTTTTTTTTATTGAGTGCCATGTCATTAGTGGTCTTTTTAAAGCTCCAAAATTAGTGGTCTCTATCATTGTTGTAAAATTTATGATTTTATTTATTGGTAATTAATTTTTGCTGACACTACTGTAATGTAATTTTTCTTAAATTTATCTAGAAAGATTAATGCTTGAGAGCACTAAAAAGGGAGCACTAGGAAAAACACTAATGAGGTGGCTCCCTCTTGATGTGATGGTTGTCTTTCTTTTTCTTTTTCTTTTTTACATTTTTCAGCTTATTAGAGTTATTAGTGGTGTGTGTTTTAGTGGTCTCAATCACTTCTGATCCAGAAAAAGTGTTGTGATTGAGAGTAATCTGGCATGTGGGTCCCATCAAATAGAATAAGAGTTGAATTTAAACCACATATTCCTTTTTAGGTAAGTTTCGAGTAACTTTTTTAAGTCAGTTTTTTTTTTTATCAAAGAAAAAATTATTAAGTTAAGAATATTATCAAATACTTAGAAAAATTATTCAATCCAATAAAGTACATTATATGGAATGGCATTCATTTTGAGAGCGGCTCACATTACACAAATTTTAAATTTAAACCATATATTTCACTCTTGGGATATTTTGAAATTTAAATTCATGACAGATAGAATTTTGTTTATTAGGTAGATCCAAACTATCATGTGATATTTGACAAATGATCAATCATAAAGTACACGTTATTCCTTATTTATTAACTACTTAAGCGAACATTGTTGGAAGCAACATGTAGCTAATGTCAGTTTTTTGTGAACTTAATAATTATCAATTTGTAAGAAAATTATTAAATACTCCTCAAAAACCATGTGTTATTGCCCATGTGATATATGTTGATAAAAAAAAAATTAAAAATTAAAAAAATAAAAAAATTTGCCTAGGTGATATACTGGCTAAATAAGAAAACACAAAACACATCAACCAGTTCATTTTTCACTTCTCAACTATTTAACAAAAGTGAGTTAACATATTTTATATGTAAAAATCTTACTGTGATCGGTTTGGAGAACTATGTAAGCAATCCCATGAGATGTTCTGATTGATTAAGAAAACCATGTGACAATACTGCACAGTACTCTCAAACTGCTGAATAATTACTCTCTCTCCCTACCCCCCACCTTTGCCTTCTCTATAAAGCTGGTGCAAAGATTATATATGCTAATGTGGTCCATGAGATAACTTGTATGGGCATGGTTCATATCTCTCTCTCTCTCTCTCTCCCCAGTGCAAGACATGAGGAGAGGGTATGAGATGAGATCTGAGGGGATAATTAAGAGAATTCTGTGCAAGTCCTGCCATGCTTTTCCACAGCTTTCTTGAACTTCCATATCTATTGTTCTTAATTTTGTTTTCTAGAAATAGATCAACTGTGGAAGCTCAAGAAAGCTGTGGGAAGACATGGCAGTTCAGGACTTCTTTGCCGCCACTCTGATTCCTGCATTTCTGTTGCCCTAAAGATCTTGCTGGCGAATCTGCATGAAATCATGGTATTTCTCATTACTGTTAAATATAATTCTAGCCCATTTGATCAAAATGTTTTGGAATGGTTTAGGACCTTGAATTTCACACAATTCACCTGAATTCTTGGAGTTTCTTTTAGAAAAAAATTGAGTTGGATGTTCAATTGTGATGTGGGTTTCATGCTTCTATGAATTTTATGTTGAATTCTACAAGATTTGGTGCAAAAAATTGCCGGAAATATATATATATATATATATGAGTCTCTCTTTTTTGGTTGGTGAATTCACTGCTCTACACACATTTGAAACATGCATTTTAGAAAGAAAAAAGGGTGAATACTGACATTAAAAAAAGAGCGGATAAATTACACTTTTTCTTAAAAAAATTTATTCAAATTTCATTTTAGACCCTCATTTACAACGTCAACTGTGGTTTTAATTTCTTTATCTATCCAAATTATAGACGATTTTTTTGTAGTTTTAACATGCAGTTTTGATGCCTCAGTAAAAAATAAAAAAATAAAAAGGTAAATTATACTCTAGGGTCCTGTAATTTAATTCCCGTATTAATTTGTTTCTTATAATTTTAATTGTATGAAATTTGTGCTTTAATTTTTCACAACATTCGTTAAGAAATTAGATAAAAATTAGGACGCATCACATTAAAATCAAGAATGAGTTAAAAAATGAATGGACCATTTCAAATTAGAAAAAAACTCATCTATCATTTTGAAGAGAGTAAATAATAGACTATTTTGTCCCTTGATTTTAGTCTAATTACTAAAAAGATGTTATCAACTACTATGCTAGATTGACACAATACAAAAAATTCAAAGGTAAAATTGGTACAATTAGAATTAGAATGATCAAATTGATACAAAAGGTAAACTATCTAAGGATTACAAACGTAATTCAGCACCCAAAAAAAAAATTACAATTTGGATAGAATGACAAATTCAATTTGACTTAAAGTGTTAATATTATTAAATTTAAAAAAAAATAAGAATTTGTGAAATTTAGATCAAATTACAAGAGAAAATATATAATTTATCTAAAAAGTTACTCCCTCCATTCCAAATTATTTGCTTAGCCCAAAAAATAAGAGCTTAAAAATATTATTTTTTTTATCCCAAAATTTTCATTTTTTTTCACAAATCAAAAATACTTAATGAGATATTTTAATTGATAAAAAAAATTTTAAAAACAATTATACAAGAATACTTATATTTAAGCCTTTTTTTTTTTTGGTATTTACGTGTAGATTCTAATAAATAGACTTATTGTTTAATAGGTCCTATGGAACAAAATTTGTTATAAAAAAAGTCACTAATTGTCAATTTTTAGCGACATATATAAAAATTGTTACAAAAAAATTATTTTTAGTGACAATTTTGTCAAGACTTATTTTCAATAGGATTTTATAGAAATTAAGGCCAACTATTAGGACCTATTGGTAGTTTATCATTTTTTTGTTTTGTTTTGTGTGCTGGACAAATAATTTGAGACACGATGAGGGATATTTTAACTCAGCTGATATTTGTTTGATTGCATATTTTCTTGATTTTTCATAAATGTTTTGAAATTTTTATTATTGTTGTTGTTTTTTTGAAAATATTTGGACATCTGAATTAAAGTAGTGAAAAGTGAAGCAGTGTTGCAGAGAAGATTCCCCAGCTTTCCTCTTCATCAACAATAATTGATAGTTCATCTTGTCTGCCTTTTGTTTTTTTTAGATAATATTATACAAATAAAAAAATCCATATATAATTTTTATACATAATTATATAATTTCTTGTGGACTTTTAATTTCAAAATAAAATACTATTGAAGAAGAATTTATTTATAGTAATAGTAATGTCACAGTATTCTTATCAATTTTTTTAAGAGTAGTGCTAGAGAGCTCGAATTGAGCCCCCGAATCCGCCTAATTACGAAACGACGTCGTTTCGTCGTTTGATTTTTTTTTTTTTTTTCAATCAGAAAATCAGAATCAGACGCAGAAAGAAGGAAGAGAAGAAGAAAGAAGAAGAAAGAAAGAAGAAAAAAGAAGAAGAGAAGGCAGGAGCGGAGGAAGAAGGCAGACGCGGACGCTCGGCCGGAATGCGACGATCGGCGGAGCTCGACGATCGGACGAACTAGACGATCGGCCGCTCGGCCGGAATGCAGGGGCCATTTGTGTGTGTGTCTCCCTCTTCTCTCTTCTCTCCCTCTCTTTCCTTCTCTTCTCTCCGCTCTCCCTCTCTCTCTCTCCCTCTCCCTCTCCCTCATCCCTTGCGTTTGAGCTCGAAAAATGGTCGAAAATGGAAGAAAAAAAAGAAACAAAAAAAAAAAACCTAATGCCCAAAATGACGTCGTTTTGGGCATTAGGGGGATTCGGGGAGACAATGTTTCGAGCTCCCAAATATTATCCTTTTTTTAAATGAATTTTATATATGAATGTAATTTTTGTTGTTTTTTTACTTCTGTACATTGTGATCTCCTTCATTTATGTGAAAAAATTGTTTTAACTGTCACTATGTTTAAATTTTTTTTTCTCTCTCTCATACAATCATTAACAAACTTTTACATTTGGACGAAATCAGAATTTCATTATCAGAGGGGCCAAAAGAAAATAATTTTTTTTACCATATAGACAAAACATACATATATGTATAAAATGATATATATAAATTATATATCCATAAAAAAATTTAAATACCATAGAAACAATTTCTAATAAGACGAAGAAGTTTTTTTGGTGTAAAATAGAAAAAGAATTTAAGATGGAAGAAGAATGACATATATATTTTTTTATACTAGGGGCCATTTTATGTATAAAATGATATATATATTTTCAAAATTCAATGGCAAACAATAATTTTTAGAGAAACAGGGGGCCATAGCCCCCATAGTCTTCTCCTAGTTCCGTCCTTGTCCCTACAAATTATAAATAATTAATTTTTAAAATTATTGACATTAATTTATTTTATCCTAAATTGTAAATGAGATTAATATTTCTGACAAAATATTATACCTGCTAACACATGTGATTCACTAAGCCTGTATTTGGATGAAAATTTAGAAAGAAAAAATATAAAATTAAAATAATGTGAATAAAATATAAAAAAAATTCTCTATTTTTCTTGCTTTTTCTTTTCTTTTTCCAAATCTATAATCCAAAAATAGCCTGAAAGTACTTCTTAGCTTTGCTCTCCAAAAGAAAGACAAATATATAGATATTAATATAACAAAACACAACAAATTATTATGAAAATATTCAACAAAATAGAAAATACGACTAATTGTAATAAATTATTGCATTTGTGTACAACCAAATTATGCTATGCACAGGGTACAAAATGCTATAAAAATATATTAAAATATGTACGTATAGTTGTGATATTTCATAAAAAATGTTATTAACAGTTCGGAGTAAAGTGAATTAATGTCAATAATTTATATAAATAATTGTTTAAATTAACAGTTCAAGAAATAAAGTGGCAAAAGTATAATAATTTAAAGCGGCAAAGTGAATTTATTTCCTATCATTTTTGGAGTGCTTGAATAGATAGAGAATTAATGTTTACTACTTTGAAATTCTTTTTTTGTTATATAACTTTAAATTTATTTTTCCTAGTATAAGTTCTGTACACATGAAATATTTAAGAATTAATTAATTGGGATTAGTTTAATTGGTTAGGATTCTTGCATCTCGTTAAAAAATTAAGCATTTAAGTCTATTAATTCACAATCTACTGCTCTCGCTAGTCTAGGCTTCGACTCCCTATATTTTAAAAAATAATAATAATGAATTCAAATTACCAATCAATTATAGTAATGGCCCTGTTTGGTAAGACTTATTTCCAGCTTATTTCAGTTTTTAGCTTAATTTAAGTTATTTTGATGTGTTTGGTTCAGCTTAACAATACAGCTTATAGCTTTTTGTAAGTCAAAAATCAACTTATTTTTTAAGTGAGGGAGGAGAAGCTTAATTTATAAGTCAAAAATCAGCTTATATTCACAGTTATAAGTTATAAGTTGTTAGGCTATAAATTATAATCACTTTCTACAGGTCTATCAAACGGGGCCAATGTCTGAATAGAAGTGTTTTTGGTCTGTCTGAGCCCTTCTTGTCTATCTTTCCTATAAAGATGATGCTTAGAGAGAGCTGTTTACCCGCTAATTACTTTCTCTTACCCTTTTAAAATATTTAACTAAATAATTTTTGTTAAATGAAACTCGCACATTAAAAAAAAAAAAATTATCCTAAAAACAAAGGAATCCATACAAGAAAAATATGGAGTTGAAGGAAAAAAAAAAAGAATAATGATACCCCCTCCGTCCCAAAATATTAGTCCCTTATTCCATTTTTCATTGTCCCAAAATATTAGTCCCTCTTTATAAATCAAGTACAAAAATAATGTAAATTTCCTATTTTGCCCTTCTTTTAAATTAATAAACAATTTAAAAAGTACAATTATGACATTGATATTCCCAAAAAATGTACTATCAAAAGGGTAATTTTGGAAAACCAACTTTTTAAAAATATAATAAGTGTACTACCAAAAAAAGTTGGATTCCCCAAAAGGGACCAATATTTTGGGACGGAGGGAGTATAAAAAATAACCGTAACAGTACTGTAGCAGCTATATAATGGTTGTTACAGTCTTTACGTAACGATTGCAGCTATTACAATTGTGAATTTCTATTATACCATTATAGCAATTGTACGTAATATGTGATAATAACTACCACAACCATTACGTAATAATGTTACGTAACGATAACGACTACTTTTTAAAATCTTGATTGTGAGGTAAAGAACAACATTCCATAATTTAGAAAATAACTTGGCTTGGCATTTTATGGTTTTAATTATAAGTTAAAAATGCTAAATATATGTTTTCAAAAACAAGGAAAGTAATTTTGGTAAGGCTTGACTTTTTCTGACATGCATGTATGTCCATTTGTGCTTCTGTGATGTGTTTCAGTGTGGATGCTGATTGGCTGATTGCCACATGGTGATATCTCTATTGATGACACTGAGGACTTGTTTTTGCAAGTGATTTTTTGACTAAAAAAATCACTAAAAAAATTAAAAAGTCAATAATTTATATCAAAAAATTTTAAAAAAAAAATTATTTTTTGCATAATTTTTCGTAAAAAATAAAAAAGTCATCCAAAACATACTAAGGCCCCGTTTGGGGACTTATCTTTTTAGCTAAAAAGTCAAAAAAGTTACCTTTTTAGCCAAAAAGCCAACAACTCATATCAAAAAGTCAAAGATTCTCTTTTTTCTCTACTTTTTGCACATCTTTTCGTATTTAACCAAAAAGTCATCCCAAACATATAAGTTTTTTTTACCTACTTTTTTAGCCAGATAGTCAAAAAAGTTACTAAATTAGTCTGTTCCCAAACGAGACCTAATTTTTTTTTACGTTATATTTTAATAAAAAAAATCAAAAAGTTACTAAAAAAATTTGTTTCCAAACGAGACCTACAAATAAAATTTCTATAAAAGAATAATAAAAAAAGAAAAATTATTTAACAGTTGGATAGAGAAAAAACTTACAAAAATATTAGAAATGCAACTGAAAAGTTGTACGGGTGCAAGCGAGACTTACACCCATATTTGTGTAACTTTTTTTTTTCTTCTATCCAACTTTTAAGTAATCCTCCCAATAAAAAAATGTGATTGATTTCACTAAATAAGTAACTTTTTATAAAAGAATAATATTTTCTTAAAAAATCTATGCAAATTTGTGTAACCACAACATTACATTCACTATTTTGAGAAATTCCAGTGTCCAAATTTTTTTTTTAGCCTCCTCACGCTTGCATCTAATTCTAAAAAAATCTTGCTACCTAATTTCACTTCCTATTAGGGAGGGTTCAACCATTACTGTGTTTTTTTAGAACTAAACTCTTAAAAGAGTCATGTGCCAACTATACTTGACATAGTTGGTTCCACAGTGTCCATTTTGTTATGTTAAAAAAAAAAAAGACTAACATGGCTTCACCATAACAGAAATAAAAAAATTTAACAATTGCTAAACGCATCATTTTTTTTAAACTAAGAGCATCTCCAAAGCTTAACTTCTTTTTTCATCAAATCTGATGAAAAAAATGACGATTTTTTCAATTTGATACGAGGCGCTCCAACGGTGAGCATCAAAGCAAAATTAGGGAGGTGGTCGACCGGGTGGTCGACCGGCCGGTTGACCAACCGGTCGACCGGTTTGGGCAATTTTTTTTTTTTTTTTTTTTTACCTGTTTGAACCTTTTTTGACCGGTTTGAACCTAGTTATTTCAAAGGGAACCGGTTGACCGGTTGGTCAACCGGCCGGGCAACCGATGTATCTCTTTCAACGGTCAGTAACAGTGATTTGGTAAAATCCGGAACTTGTTCTCAGTTTGATACTTTTTTTGCTGATTTCTCATTTTGATATTCATTTGATGCAACGGTTGGAGCATGGAAAAGTATATTTTTCATCAAAATTTAAATCTGATATCAATTTTGATTCACCGTTGGAGATGGTCTACGCAAACTTTCACTATAACAAAAAAAATACTAAAAAAATTGCCTAACACATCCAAAAAATTATTAAAAGTATCTCCAATTGGCTCTTTAAAAGAGGCATGTTAGTTATTATAGCTAGCATCATTTACTTTCTCCAACAAGCTAGCTACTACACCAGCCATTTAAAAAAAAAAAAAAAAAATCAAGTTAGCTACATTGGGAGAGTTTTGAGAAGTTCTTTAAATAATTTGTGTAGATAAACAAGTAAAATATAGAGTATTATTCAAGTACACAGATAAAAAATTAGTTAGGTAAAATAAAAAGGAATAATTTTTTTTTTTTAATTTTTGCTAATAAAAAATAAAGAGTAGTGTTGTAGTTGCTTTAAGAATATACATGGGGTGATGAATCGGTATTGGTCAATGTGAAGGATATATATTGAGAATTGAGTGAAATGATCATGAATTTTTTTAATGTAAACGGCTTCAGTTGGTGATACAATTGGAGGTATACTATTGAGTTCATTGGGTCCATTGTAGCATCCATCAAGAAAATAATATATATAGAAATTCAGATTAATCAAACATCGAAAATAGATCATATTTGTTTTATAAAATTAGATGATAAATATAATTTTGAAAATAGACTCTCTATTATTTTTAAGATAAATGTAATCAGATCATTTGACAAACAATTGTTTAATCAATTTAATTTTCTACAATCAAATCATTCGAGTCACTTATTAATATTTCTAAAATTTATAACGTTTTAAAGAAATGACAAATGCATTTGGATGCAAGTTCTCAATAAATAAATGGGGACATTTTAATCCTGTGTATATTTAAAAAAATAATTACAAATCAATGAAATTTTTTATAAATATTAATAATTAAAATTTTAAATTTTTTCATTAACTTATAATAATTTTGTAAAAGTGGCATTGGATGATAATTTCTCCTAAATATATCATGTATTTGTACTTTTTATTTTTATTTTTTATTTATGTGTGCATGT